TATTGAATTGAAAGTGAGGTAAACTCTTTTCCCTAATATTTAAAGCCAGATAAAAAAAAAGACAGTAAAAAATAAGGCTGCATTGTGCCTGCATAAATAATCTGGCGCCATCCCATTGAACAGTTAACACTTAATGCCATACGTTCAGGGAACTCGACAAAAATGGCCAACTCGTATAAGGCCCATTGTCATCGGGATCGAAAGTAGACACGTGGATCGAGGTTGACTCTTTTCTTTTTCCCACTATTAAAACATTTATTACATTATCCCAACCTTGTACCCAGGATCTACTTTCAACCTCGAGACAACAGTAAACCCTGGTAGGGTAACTGATCCAATCCCATCGTAGCAAGTAATGTATTTATTATCTTGTCGGCCTACTTGATGATTTTACTTGTTGATTGTATTTGTGAGTATTTCTGCCTACTCTACGGAATCGTATTGTTACCAACCAAATAAAAAAAAAACGGGGAAAAAACAAACAAACTAAAAAACGTCTTAGTATCTCATTTAATCGACTAAGTACCGGTATCTCATTTAAACGACTAAGTACCGGTTTCTCGTTTAAACGACTAATTATCTCGTTCAAACGACTTAGTATTATTTGTCTTGTTTAACGATTTATTGATCTTGTTTAAACGACTCATGTATCTCGTTTAAACACCTTATTTATCTCGTTTAACCCTGGCAGAACTCAACCCATCCAACCCCAACATGTTTTGCTGGAATCTGTCAGGATGGGTACAGTATCCCTAAAACTGACAGTCTTTTACATTGGGTTGGCACACCTCCAGAATCAGAATCAGTTTCCAATTATGGCGGTGGTGTGCAGTTTCCCATACGGGCGTTATTAAATGATTTTATCTCTCCGTCAAACTAGCCCAGGCACACCAATAAAGTGACAGGCGCGCCACTTTGGTCTTCCTAATCTGCCATCTCGCATGCGTCTGACATCTGGGCCCAATTTCATAGAGCTGCTTAAGCAGAAAATTTGCTTAAGCACGAAAAAACATTGCTTAGTAAAATTAGGTTACCGGCCAAAACTCCATGTGATGTACATTGCTTGTGACTGGTATTTAGCTGTTTTTTACTTAGCATAACAATCGCATGGAGTTTTGGCTGGTAACCTGATTTTATTAAGCAAGACGTTTTTGTGCTTAAGCAAATTTTGTGCTTAAGCAGCTCTATGAAATTGGCCCCTGGTGTGGATGACCTGACTTTTGTGTCGCGTGTTGTAATATGTAAATTTGAAACAAATATCAACCCTGTTAATACAGATAATTATGTGAGTCTTGATGACGTAATCATGCATTCAATTACATGCGCTTTTAGTTTAAAAAGTGAATGGTTTGTTTCAATCATAACTTAGAAACAAAATTAACAATCAAGTTTATACTTTAGGATCTGATAGACCTTGTCTTGATGAATCTCAAAGTACGTGAAGTCCTTGACCGTTTAATTCTTCCGTGGTTACCGGAAGGTGAAAGTTACGTGAATTCCAAATTCCGAAAAAGGCGACAATATTGAAACAAACATAATTTATCTAAACGGTTCAAGGGATGAAGATGAAGCCTGTTCAAATACGAAACCCTTATCTAAATATGTTCACTTATTGGTGAGGTCATTATGACGTCATCATATCAAATGATAAGGTCAAAATTGGACAAAATGCTTTGAACAATAACTTTTGAACTGAATTGAGTACTAGCGTCTTCATTTCGTGCGAGGTACAGTTGATAGATATTGCCGGGCCGGGGTCACCGGAGGTGCAATGATTAATATATGTAACTTGAAAACAGAAGCATTTTGCGACAATAATACAAATTAGGCAAATGTTTAGTGAGGGATATAACAAACACAAGAAACGGCTTGATGACATCATCACCCGAAAAAAACGCCCATTGGCACATTTTTATAATAAAGGTGAACTTGCTTGAATTTTTTTTTTTTTTCGAATTGCTCCTAAATATTCTATGGACAACCGCAAGTGACCTTGTAAGGTTTCAGGATCATGACGTCATCAGACCGGAAGTGACCATTTTCCTTTTTTTTTTAAATCCGCATTTTTTATCAAAGTCAATTATCTCAGAAATAGAATAAGGGTGGCAAAAATTTATTTTACCAGAATTATGTTAAGACTAATCTGAATAGATCATGCAAATGTCATTAATGTGGAGCTAAGCATTGCGATTATGTAAGCACTTGTTCATTGTGTCCTCAATTTATTACCATTCCAAATCCCATTTCAACATGTGGTCCATACTGATCATTAGGAGGACAGGTATGACGCGGCGGGCAGTTGCTGATATGAGACGACGGGCCGAATTGTGTATTCACCTCAATGACCTTCAAGTTGAAGGAAGAGCAGCCAGGCAATGATTTTAAGCAGCCAGGATGCAAGGAGGTATTAGCAGTGCTGGTTGTTGTCTATTCCAAGAGCTTTGAACAGTAATAATAATATTGGAAAGCTTTTTTTCGGGTGATACAAGAATGTTCTTGTATCCCCCTCAAAGCCATCCAATATTATATAATGGCCATACGTGGCCTGTGGAGGGCGCGCATCCTGAAACTATAGTATACATATAGACTGGCAATGAGGTCACTAGTGCACGTCTATGCGCCCCGAGGGACTGTGAGTTACCAGAAGAGGGTCCGGCCGAGGGAAATAGGACCCTCTTCTGGTCACTCACAGGCCCGAGGGGGCATAGACATGCACTAGGGACCGAATTATGCCAGTCCAAATGTGTTTTATGACTCAACTCTGTCCAAAATATAAAATAAGAAAAGAAACCTTTCAGGGTTTTATTATTGAACTGTTTTATTTCAACAATTAATTCAAGCAATTAAACTGTAAGCAATTCAACAATTACAGAAACGCTTTTACTTTCCCTAGATTAAATTTTTGAGTTTGAGTTTTGTCAGAGGACGCTGTTACCAGTCACAAAATAGAGTATAGTGCCCCGATCGGGCACTATACTCTGGAAAATACGCGCGCGCGATGTCTCGACGCGCGTCTAGTTCACGCTGACGCAAGTTTCATGCACTAGCCTATATTAGTGAATCACACGTGACAGCGTCTCAGCCAACCTGGATAAGGAACAAGCAAGAGTTGTGTTACAATTGCACTTATTACACAATATACTTTTCACGCTGAAGACAATATATATAAACTTTGTTGACACTTCGACGGTCGAGAAAATGTTTTGTAATTCAGCACGTGTGGGTCAAATGTCATATGCTAATAAGTTCAAAGGTTTAATACTGACTGGAAAATCCCCAGTCCCCACACTATTTACTCTTTTGCTTGACTACTTTTCTTGATAATTAACAAGCTATACTTTACAACATCACAAAAAAATGTCCGAGATTTGGGGGACAAAGTTGTCCGCTATTTGGTTGGGGTACAAAGCTGTCCGTGATAAGGGGGACAAAAACAATACTAAATTGTCCGCGATACGGGGGAGAAAATAATGTCTACGATTTGGGGGATAATTTGCTTGCCATTTTGAGGACAAAGGTGTCCGTTATTTTGGGAACAATGCTGTTCGCAATTTCGGGGAACAAAGTTGTCCGCTAAATGCGGTCTTATTTGATGTCTATCAGGTATTATCGGACAATAGATGGCGCTTTTTATGGCGGCTGACGTCCGCGAAACCTTCCAAAAAAGAGTTAGCACTCATTAAAAAAAAGGCGCTTATAAAAAAGGTTTCTTTTATTGAAAAGGGCTCCCAGGTGAGTAGCTGTCTATGCCACTTTAGTCAATGGATCAGAGACAATGGTCAGTATGCCTTTAATCATTCATGCATCTTCGTCTGCATTATCATTCCATAACAATCAAGAGAGCCTCAATCAGTAAGAATTCAGTCCAACAGCTAGTCAACAATTAATCATCTTCTGATAATACCTGTAAGCCCGGCAGAGATTCAGTTCAACTTCCCTTTCTCATGTAATCATCAATCAGGCGCGGATCCAGAGAGGGGGGGGGGTCAAAGAGGTCAACCCCCCCCCCCCCCGCTCTGTCAAATAAAAAAAAATTCCATACAAATTCCCAAAAAATAAGTCGAAACCCCCCCTGCTGTGACACCCAAAAAAGGTTATACTGGTATAATGTTTGCCTGTTCAAAATACGGTACACCATTCTGTAATCTAGTCAGGCGCGGTTCTACGTTTTTGTCAAATGAGAGTACAACAATTTTGTCTAGCCCCCCCCCCCAAAAATAAATTCCGTAAAAACAAATTGCATTAGCAAAAAAGGAGGATTGTGATGTACATGTACATGCGAACGGTCTCCCCCTAAAAGAAATAGTCGTGACAAGGGTGCATTTGTAGTTAATATAGTGTGAATGATTTTAGGATTTTATTGGCGCTCCCCATTGAAAGTATGGCATGAGCGCCCCCCCCCCCCACCCTACCCACCCCACCCACCCACCTATTGATTTTCGGAGGCCTAAGTGTCTGGAGAAAATAACCGGTCTACATTTCAGCACGCCTCCCTGAAAAAAAATCTGGATCCACCCTGCTTGCCCCCCCCCCCCCAAAAAAAATATTGGTTCTAGAACCGCGCCTGAATCTAGTGTTAATAATCATCGAATTAAACAGCGCCCCCTATTGAAATATGGTACCAGCCCCCCCCCCCCCCCTATTGAAATATGCTAATCAGATACGCGATTCCCAATATGCAAAGAGACTCGCATAATTTATTTTACTTTCTATAGTTGTGAGAAACGCTTTTTTAGAGGCTAAAATGACGCAACAGGTTGTAGCATTAATTAGGGTGCTGTAAATTGAATGACATAAAACACAGAATAGTTCATATTCCAATTAGGGCGATTCACAATGCAGTGCGCCACCAGGAGTTTGCCATGGAGAGTCCATATTTTAAGCCAACTGGTTTACGGTCGACAAAACTGCCCATTTGAATGAGTGTCATCGGCAGACAACTCGAGCAAATTACAAAAAAACACCATGATAAAAAGAAAAGAAAAGGGCAATCAGATACCCGAATCATGTACGCTTACGAAACTACTGACCGGAATTTTTTTTTTCAAATCTCCCGCGCTGCGAATTTGTCGACTTCTTCCCACAATGCACCGGTGATAAGTGATATTTCAGTGGCAAACTCACATTCACATTGTGAATCGTCCGAATTAATTGGTGTTCCTTACAATACGCTATTTCAAAAATCTACTACATGCAAGAAATGATGCTGATATGTAAAAACATAAATGTTATAATTTGTGCCTTTCACAATATTTATGATTCCGGAGAAAAATTGCATGTAAATTAATGTTAACCATCAGTTTTCAACAAACCGATTTATTTCACATGCATCGATGCGGCGGGAAACCCCACATGCCCCAGCTCTAGTCACTGGAAATTTGACAATTAGAACTGATCGGGCCATATGTGTCATAAATCTGGGTTTAGACGGGTACATCATATAGCCCTCACTCAGAATGTAAGAGGCGGGAATAAGTCTTTAAGTTTGAGTGAAAATGTCTGGTGTTTTATTTTTTAGTAGTTTTTTTATGTTGATCGTGTGCTACTTCTATAAGTGATTGTATAGTCATTTTGCTTGGCAAGCTATATCTCCATCACTTGTGATTAGGCCCAAACAGAAATAGTTCTGCTTCCGGTTACCCTACCCCTATTTTGACAGCCCCTACCCTATTTTTTTTTTGGGGGGGGGGAGGGGCATTGTGTGGAGAGGATCTATATATCCCAACATTTTGACTCACGCATTCTGAAAAATCTACACCGCAGATCTATGACATAGATTTCACCCCAGGTTCCCATTTGTCAAATTTCCAATGAGCATTAGAGCTTGGGCCTCCCAAGCTAGCATCGATGGTATTATTTTACTCGTGACTATGGCAGCCGAGGACCTCAAAGCGCATACAGCAGTGTACGCTGTACTGCTTTGGCAGGATACGCAGGAACCTGGCCTGGAAAGCCTTCGGGAAAGTGGTGGTCACGTGGGTGTTTTGGTCTGAGTTTCCAGGGAACTGTGAGGAACAAACAATAATAAGGATTTTCAAACTAGCGCTGAAAGGTTGAACATTTTTCCCATGTAGTTGCAGCATGCAGGATCGACAGAGGGAGCCCTCACCCTACGACATGCATATTCATAGTCAAAGGTTTGTCAGTAGATAATTAACGGATTTAAGGTGTTTTATAACACTAACGCAAAGACAGCCGTTTTGATTGTTGACTGGAAGTCGATCTGACAACCAATCCCAACGGTTGGCCTTTTATGCTTCTCTTTTTTTTTACCAGAGTGATGAGGATAAATGTTTACTTGGGTGGGACTTGAACCCACGACCTCGTGCTTACTAGCGCAAATGTCTTACCACTCGACCTCCAAGCTTGTTCGAGTCTGCTGGCTGGTTTGAATCTGATCTATAGCTTAATTTCCCATCCAACATTTGCACCCGTAAAAAAAAAAAAAGATGTCGTGGGCTTCCAGTCCCAACCCACTGAGTAAGCTTGTGAATTTTATCTCAGAAATGCTCGGACAACACTGAGTATACAGTATACCTTGGTGAAAGGGCAAATAGGCCTGTCTACTGATGACGTCACACTTTGTTTACACGTGGGAGCCCGGTGGGGACGGCAGTTTCGTAGCCCCATAGTCTGGTTCTCAGACCGAAAGATTCTGACTGTTTCTGATGTATTTAGACGTCAGGGCGTCGGGGGAAATTGTAATATCAGGGAACCAGACTAGTACCCCCATAGCAAAGCGCACATGTAAACAATAAAGTGTGCCGTCATCAGAGGCTCATATCGAACAATGTGCTTGGACTACCTTCATCGGTGTGCATGATCCATCATCGGTGACATTGGTCCATTCTTGGCCATCGTGACTATAGGCGACTTTGAACTCTGTCACCCATTGGGGCCAGTCCCCATTCGAAGTCCCGCGCCCCTGGGTGATAACGCCAGTGATGGTTGCATTGGAACCGAGTTCGACTTGGATCCATGGATTGGTTTCACTAGGTCCAGCATTACACCAGGCTGCGGACCCGCTCGTGACTGCAGAGTAAGCAGATAATCAAACCTGCTGCATGAGCATAATTAACAAATTAGCAAATGTATGCACTAAGTAAAAACTGAGAACCATGCTTCAGGCACTATACCAGGCAGCGGCCACACTTGCAGAGTAAAGCGGATAATCGAAGCTGCTGAACATAGAATACGTTCTGATTTAATAGCAAATTATATACTAAGCAGAAACTGAGAACCATATGCTGCAATTATTCTCCAAGCTGCGGCCACACTTGCAGAGTAAGCGGATAAAACAAACCTGCTGAGCATAAATCAATATTTTTGCAAATTTATAAAACAAACCTGCTGAGCATAAATCAATCTTTTTGCAAATTTATGCACCAAGCATAACTTGACTGAGAACCATGTTGTAGCCATTTGATTTTTTCCCATTCAGATCAATGTAACCAAAGCGAGGCTGGAAAGCAAAATAGTCTGGTTCCTTTTCGCACAAAAACATTATCAATCAGTACTGTTATTGGATACAGGGAACATGACTAAAATGTTGGAAGCATGATGGTCTAGTGGCCTGCAGCCGAATTCACGAAACTTTAGTTGCGCCATATTTTATTGCGTAAGCTGCGCAACATTTGACTGTTGACACATTTCCCGAAAGTCTCATAGTGCGTAAGAACTGTTTTTTTTCTTCGTTAAATCGGCTACAAAATACTCACAACTCTCCAAGGTGTTATAGACACGCACATTAAAGCTAATTTCACCATCTTTTTTTCTGTTCAATTTTTTTGGGGGTTAACTTTTGATTTTTGGAAGAAAATTCCATCCAAAGATAATCAGCCTAAAAGGGGGTCTACCCGATGTTCCCCATACCTATGTTCCCCAATATAATGTTCCCCAAAATCATTAGGGTTAGGGTTAGAGTTGGATGGTTAGGGTTAGTGTTAAGGTTGGGGAACATAGGTTTTGGGGAACATAGGTATTGGGGAACATAGGTATGCACCCGCCTAAAAGTAGTCCTGTAGCGCAAAACCGTCGCCATTTTGAAAAATGGCGCCTGCGTTCCATTGCAAAACAGAGCCATTGTGGGGCCCAATTTTATGAAAACTCTACACAAAATTAATAAGAGCTTGCAGACCTGTGTACGGCTTCCACCCTTCTTATTTGTAGAAACCCTCAAGTTCATGGCCCACAAAATGCTTCAATACCGGAGAATTTGAGGGCATGCAAATCGTGATTTGGCAGGCGCAGGCAATCTCGGGCCTAGTTACTGGCCTGCACACGTGATTCAAAATTGACGGCTGCCATTTTGTCATCATGTGTCTGACTGGTCATCATGTGACCGATTATAGAAAGGAAACGAGCTTCGCTGACCCCCCGCCCTGCAAACAGGGCGCTGGGACACGCTGATGAGCTTCACAGAATCTTGTGAAGGAAGTGGGGTGGTAATTTATCATGACCTATGCATAAAGACATCTGGCTGCAGCTGTTTAAGACCGCAGTTAGCCAATGCGTGCAAATGCTATCCGAAAACTTTCTCATAGAAATGTACACGTTCCATACCGGATGTGATTTCTTTTTCATTGCGGACCATTTGTGGACACATTTTGAGCGTCGCATAATATGCAATTTGACATTTCGTGAATTTCGAAACGGAGCCTGAGCAACTGACGGGAATTGAAAATTTACAAAACAGATTTACTGATTTAAGTTTTAAACAGATTTTACTACATTATTACGCCTTTCAACGAAAAAAAAAAGCATTTATGAATGGGAATAAAAGAGTGATGACTCAGTCTTAACGGCCGTTTGGAACCTTGCAGGGTTGTGGCCGTGATGACTTGCAGGTCAAAGGTCACGCAAAATCTATCCAATCAGAGCGCAAATTCATCAGCCCATCCCATCGTCCTGTTTGCAGGGCGGGGGCACGAGCGAAGGAAATAAGCATGTGCGGGTAGCGTTGCGGTCTTACCGCAACGGGTGAAAAAATACCGTACGTATACCGGTGATGGGGTGATCGGTGAACCGGCAGAATCGGGAAGGTGTGCGCCGGGCTTAAGCGGATAAACATAGCTGCTAAGCTGGAGTAGAACATATTGCATTGCCAATTCTATGAGCTAAACAAAAATCGAATGAAAGGAACCTGTCAATAGCAGTAAATGCTACTTCCTTTTTATATCATTATGTTTAGAACGCGTTTTGTAGCCCAATAATTGGGCGTATTCCAGGCCATAATGTCCTTTAAACGTTCATTCCATGTACGTTGTAATTTCTGAATGGACTTATGATAAAATTAACAATTTACTGTACCTTCAAGGTTAAGCCGAGCCCTGGTGGGTCCGTGATCGGCCCGGTTGCTCCACATTGACGACGCTGTGATGTTTGCATTTGGAATGCGACGGTCTTCCATACCAAGGGGTCCAGCCTCAGAGCACTCCAAAACATCTGTAGGGTTTTTTTTGTTTAGAAAGTTCATTCAGTATCGGGCAGGTGTCATTAATTAAATAATTGCGCAGCGTGTTTTTCTCTATAGAAGAACGGTTGTATGGACTTTCTTGCCGGCGCGGATTCCGCTTTCAGCTGATCTTGAACATGCGCCTTATGCATGAAACTTAGTATGTTTATAGAACTTGCTTTGTACATTGGCGTTGTAGCCCAATGTGATCAAAGTTCGCGTTCACCAACCTCGTCCCCGTGCAGGGCTTACTTTATTTTCAACCTCATTTCCAATAGTAAGCCCTGGATAGGAAACTTTCTTCCTGTATCCTAATTCGATATACCAACATTGGGTAAAATGACTAATTTGAACCAAGTGTTATTTACCAAGGGAACAGCCCAACAGGTGGTTAAAAAATACCCAAACGTAGGGCAAAATGTGCCCAACGATGGGTAAACGTTGGGCAAAATTGGAAAATTTTACATGTTAATTGGTTAAAATGTCAACCAACCAAATTTTAACCAGCGTTTTGACATCAGTACATCAGTCTAAAAGCTCATCACCAATCGACATAACAAAATGGATTAAGTGAAGAGCTGATTTCTAGCCTGACAATAATACAGACAAACACACCTACCTTTCTTGCAGGGTACATGGACTAGCGCTTTGACCGCGTCAAGTTGGTAACGAATGACTTCCAGTTGGTCCCGGGAGACGTCCAGTTGCCTATACAAGGGACTCAGAGCTGCTTCGAGAACCGAGTCGGGGTCCCCGTGGGCGTGTGCGGCTGCAGCAAACAGGCAGCACTGGGCCACCACGGCAAAGATAGCTACCAGAAAACACTTCATCTTGATTATCAGAGACACAAAATGTTCTCAAATCAGTCCCAGAGTCTCACTTATATAGGTTTACAACTGACCTAGAATCCTTGAAACCAAGATGCCCATCACAAAAGGCGTTGACCGTGCGCAGCACACAAAAACCGCAGGACCGTCACGTATGCCAAGTTTCCTCCAGTGTCTAGGGTTCACTTGTTTGTTTCGTCCAAAACAATGTTCACATAGGTAGCAAACAAATGTTCAAGTTACTTGCTGCTTCCGATGATAATATTGTTGCACACCAGTGCATTGATATATTAAAGCCTGGCTGTGAACGTTCATCATAGGCGGGTATAGCATCTCAGCGTATATAAAATGTAAAGGGTACAACATTTAAATGAATGGTTTTTAAACCGCAGCCTGTTTGTTGTTGTTGTTGTTGTTGTTGTTGTTGTTGCTGTTGTTGCTGTTGTTGCTGTTGTTGCTGTTGTTGCTGTTGTTGCTGTTGTTGCTGTTGTTGCTGTTGTTGCTGTTGTTGCTGTTGTTGCTGTTGTTGCTGTTGTTGCTGTTGTTGCTGTTGTTGCTGTTGTTGTTGTTGTTGTTGTTGTTTTTACATTTTGTGCCATGACTTTTCAACATCGTTGGGAAAACAGAAAACACCTGGCTCAGTGCTGACTGTGAAGATGCAGCATCTTATTATAAAATGCTGGATCTAAGTCTTAGATGCTGACTCTACCAACGGTGACTCTATCAACGGATTAATGTATCTCGTGAAATAAATCGACTCAGCCAACATTGGATTTGGGACAAAGACGGCTCTAGATTTCCTTCGCAATCTACCACACAGAATCGGCTGATTAAACTGTAGGACGAATGTGATGTCCGGAACAGCAGACCAATCCGCTAAGCCCCGCCCACTGCCAACGTACGTACGGATGAGGGCAACAACAACAACTGTGCCGCTCTAATGCGTAGACGCTAGACGCGCGCGCCATTATTATGCAAGTGCACGCGCGCACGTGCGGACCTGCGGCAGTGATTGGTCCAAACGACTCATCAGGCGGGGCCAACGGGGCTTGGTGGATTGCATGGTCTATCTGGCTCTTAAGTGACAGCATCATAGACGCGCACGCACCACTGATTACTTGAATACATTGGCTTAACCCGCCACTTCACACTACTTTCCAATGGTTCCAATAATTTGCAATACTCATTTTACTCGAGCCGGTAATGGACGCTTACCATTTGGACATGTGAGCCTCGTATTCTGATTCAGGCGCCTATAGTGTGTGAAGACACATCTGCAGGCGAACCAACCATTAGAACAAAGACCGCTGACGTATTCCTTTTTCACCTCAACTCAAGTTCTATTTGGAGTTTACGCTTCAGAATCAGATAAAAGGTTGTTTTTAACTTTTGAATTTGGCCATCCAGGATTTCATGTGATAAACAGAAAATTCCGGATTTATTGGGTTCGACCAAGTTTGATCTGGTTTCAGTGTCGTAAACTATGCCAACAGGATGTGGTCTGGGTCTTCAAACCAGGACATCAAACAGCAGTAGGAAATGGGGTTTCGAATTTAAATCCGGGATATTGTTAACATAATGCAACGAAGAGGGGCTTGAAACTTGTTGGTAAATAAAGGGTAACATAGGCCTACTATAGCCTTTTTGGAACATGCTAAAAACTTCCAATATATTCTACTGTAGTCATCTCAAGTTTCGTATCTCCCTGGCTTTGGACTGGCCATCCTTCTCCAACACTACAGCCTAAGACTACATGATGAGGACCACCTATTTCCAGGCTTCACGCATGGGTCGAGTGACAGCCTTGTGACAAAAGCAGGTATACGCACAATACAGTTACAACACTAAACGTGACGTCATTATGGGAGTTGGCATGCATGGGTCTGGTCTGTGCCTCAGAAATTCTGGGTCAAATGTTCAATCAGGCTTTTTAGCCATGTCTCATAAGGGAACTATGACATGTTTTTGTGGAAAAAATGACAGAGTAATTAAAATGTTCTTTTCACAGTCACAATTCTTCAAAGAGGAGATGTCATCGCTTGTTTTTACTTCTGGATTGATCATGAATGGGTCATCCAGGGTTTTATACAAGCGATATTTACTTTTGGATTTATTGGGTCGACCAACAATAATTGCAAGTTTTATCTGGGTTCAGTTTTATATGGCTCGTGCCATAATTATTTTTAATGGGGAGGGCTAAAATCCTACAATCAGGCAAGCTATATAAACTAAAAGTGTACAAATGCACCCTTCTCACGACTATTTATTTAGGGGGAGACAATTCGCATGTACGTCACATTTTTACAATTTGCTAGTATATTTTTTATGGATTTTTTGGGGGAAGCTTAAGCCGAACCTAGCCTCCTCCCTCCCCCCCCCCCCAGAACCGCCACTGGCCATATCTCTTCAATCTCCCAATTCAATGGCTCTCAGAATTCTCAAAATTTGACTTGCTTTGGATGTTTGAAATCTTAAGGGGTTAACCGTGCATTTTCATCAAAATTGGGCAAAATTTGAATTTTCTGGAACGTCAGAAATCGTAAGGGTTAACCTTGCATTTTCATCAAAGTTTCACTATTTTGGCAAGTTTGACTTTTTTTGGAACAGTTACAATTGTATGGGTTAACCTTGCATTTGCATCAAAATTGGGCAACATTTCTCCTTTTTTTTGAAAGTTTGAAATCACAAGGGCTTTACCTTGCATTTTCATCAAAGTTGGGAAAATTTCACTTTTCTGGAAAGTTTGAAATCGGAAGAGGTTAACCTTGTATTCTCATCAAAACTAGGCAAAGTTTGGTTTTTTTTCGGAAAGTTCCATAATTGTAAGGGGTTAACCTTGCATTTTCATCGAAGTTTGGCAAAATTTGACCTTTTTGGAAAGTTTCAAAATTGTAAGGGGTAAACCTTGCTTTTTCATCAAAATTGTGCAAACTATGACTTTTTTGGGAAGTTTCAAATTGTTAGGGGTTAACCTTGCATTTTCTTTGAAATTTGGCAAAATTTGACTTTTTTAGGAAGCTTAACATTGTTAGGGGTTAATCTTGCATTTTCATCAAAATTGGGGAAAATTTGAATTTTCTAGGAATCGAAGTTTGGCAAAATTTGACCTTTTGGGAAAGTTTCAAAATTGTAAGGGGTAAACCTTGCTTTTTCATCAAAATTGGGCAAACTATGACTTTTTTGGGAAGTTTCAAATTGTTAGGGGTTAACCTTGCATTTTTATTTGAAATTTGGCAAAATTTGACTTTTTTAGGAAGCTTAAAATTGTTAGGGGTTAACCTTGCATTTTCATCAAAATTGGGGAACATTTGAATTGTCTAGGAATTTAAAATTGTAAGGGTTAAAACTTGCATTTTCATCACAATTTAAAAAAAATTCGATCGTCTGGGAAAATTCGATAGTCTGGGAAAGTTGAAATCGCATTTTCATCAACATTTGGCATAAATTTTAAGGTTGGTCCCGGGAGCATCCAGTTGCCTTTACAAGGGACTCAGAGCTGCTTCGAGAACCGAGTCGGGGTCCCCGTGGGCGTGTTCAGCTGCAGCTAACAGGCAGCACTGGGCCACCACGGCAAAGATAGCTACCAGAAAACACTTCATCTTGATCATCAGAGACACAAAATGTTCTCGAATCAGTCCCAAAGTCTCACTTATATAGGTTAACAACTGACCTAGAATCCTAATTGCAACCAAGATGCCCATCACAAAAGGCGTTGACCGTGCGCAGCACACAAAAACCGCAGGACCGTCACGTATGCCAAGTTTCCTCCAGTGTCTAGGGTTCACTTGTTTGTTTCGTCCAAAACAATGTTCACATAGGTAGCAAACAAATGTTCAAGTTACTTGCTGCTTCCGATGATAATATTGTTGCACACCAGTGCACTGATATATTAAAGCCTGGCTGTGAACGTTCATCATAGGCGGGTATAGCATCTCAGCGTATATAAAATGTAAAGGGTACAACATTTAAATGAATGGTTTTTAAACCGCAGCCTGTTTGTTGTTGTTGTTGTTGTTGTTGCTGTTGTTGCTGTTGTTGTTGTTGTTGTTGTTGTTGTTGTTGTTGTTGTCGTTGTTGTCGTTGTTTTTTTTGTGTGTTTTTTTTACATTTTGTGCCATGACTTTTCAACATCGATGGGAAAACAGAAAACACCTGGCTCAGTGCTGACTGTGAAGATGCAGCATCTTATTATAAAATGCTGGATCTAAGTCTTAGATGCTGACTCTACCAACGGTGACTCTATCAACGGATTAATGTATCTCGTGAAATAAATCGACTCAGCCAACATTGGATTTGGGACAAAGACGGCTCTAGATTTCCTTCGCAATCTACCACACGGAATCGGCTGATTAAACTGTAGGACGAATGTGATGTCCAGAACAACAGACCAATCCGCTAAGCCCCGCCCACTGCCAACGTACGTACGGATGAGGGCAACAACAACAACTGTGCCGCTCTAATGCGTAGACGCTAGACGCGCGCGTCATTATTATGCAAGTGCACGCGCGCACGTGCGGACCTTCGGCAGTGATTGGTCCAAACGACTCATCAGGCGGGGCCAACGGGGCTTGGTGGATTGCATGGTCTATCTGGCTCTTAAAGGTAGAGTCCATCATTTGTAATTTGTGCATTTTGTTCGTTTGAAGCAACAAAAGAGTTCAAAATCTAATGAAGGATACTGAGCAACTAACCTGATGAAGTTTCAGCTAAGCTTCAGCCGTACATTCCGAGAAAAACAGCATTCTAAGATCTCAATTTCAAATCAAAAGTTGCTGAATCATGTTTTGAATTGTTTTGAATTGCAACTATACGCGACGTCGCGCACTGATCCGACGAATTATAACAACCGCGCGCGCGTGTGCGTCGTTCGAATACTTGTGCGCGCTGCGCTGAATAACAAACTAACTACTAATTTAAATTTTCCTACGGTGCTTCTTAAGAATCACCGTTGGAAATGCCTTCTTTCGTTGATTACTTCAAAATGACAGCTTCCCAGAAAGAATAATTTCACAGGGAGTTTAGTCCCCTTACTATCTTTCAACCAAGTTAGTTTTTCAACAATAATTACGCCAGTTACTTTTCGGATGGCTGCAAATGATGGACTCTACCTTTAAGTGACAGCATCATAGACGCGCACGCCAGGACATCCAACAGCAGTAGGAAATGGGGTTTCGAATTTGAATC